AAGTCAGGAAATTTTATTATTTATCTGGATTTTTTATTATAAAAGTATTATATATTTTATAATATGTTATAACATTGCTCAAGAATTATAATATTGTTCAAGAACTTTATTCTAATTCATTTTTTTATTAAAAATTAATACATTAATTTTATAAAAATGTTTTATTTAAAAGTTTTGTTGTGATATTATACCATTAAATATATTAAAAATAAAATTTGATATAACATAAATAAAAATATCTCAGGATTTCATGATTTAACATTTAATTGATTTATCATATAGATATATGCAAATTATATATTTGAAAAAAATAATACTAAAAAGTCAGGGAAAAATAAATTTCTGGTCTTGGAAAATTTGAAAAATTCCGAGAATGTTTTCATTGAGTCTGCTGGACACCCTGTAATAAGACATTTACAAAAATTATCAAACTTTATTTGAGAAAATAATTACGGTAGGTGCTTTAAAGTTTCTATGCAAACTAATTAAAAGAGAGTTCTTTTTTATCTCTTTGACGAAAAAAAAAAAACCTGAGAATTTTTATTTAGTCAACAAAGACTTAAATAAGGATTTCGTCGAGATTCATGAAGATGCGATATTTCACGCCTCAGACGCGGAAATCGTCGAAGAGCCAGTTATAAAGGCGATGATTGAAGGCGACGTCCGTTACATTTCGCACGAGTTTTCTCTTCCGGGGAAAAATTCGCGGGAAAATAAACTCGACTTCGGCGCGACTTTGCAGTTCGTGTTCATTCACGCGCGTTCTTTTCGCCAGTTTTCCTTTCATCGTATAAGACTGTCCGTTGACTCGGCTCCAAAAATGGCAAGTGCGCCCTTTTTGTGTGTTAAAGGGCGGCCGAAGGAGATTCTCTTCCGGAAATAAAAGGTCGCGGAGGAAAGAGAAACCTCCGCGTTTGTCCAATTCCAATCTCTTTCGCGTCACGTGAGCCGAGCATCGATCTTGCGCGGGTCAAGCGGAACTTACGACGGCGCATATAATGAGGGTAGTTAATTTCGTAGTTCCTACGTTACCTAATCGTCGGAATAGACCGAGTCCGAGTCCGCGCCGCTCGCAATTAACCCGATTATCTCCTATCAATCTAACCATTTATCTTGCGCGAAGAGTCGCGCTCTGGGAGTAACAATTTTCCGAAAGTTGAATCGAGTTTTTTTTTTATCGCACGAAAAAGAGAGATGTAATTCAATTTAAAAATTTTGAATCTTTTTCGAAACACAATTTCAATAATTTCGTCAAACTTTTTTTTATTTCCCAAAAATTCCATTGTAACAACAGAGAATTTTCCTCAATAAAATAGAGTGTGTAATAAAAATGTTGCAGACTCGGAAAAGGATTTAGATGTGTATACGCATTTGTATATATATATATATATATATATATATATATATTTACATACACAATGCATACAAAATCATTCTGGATATTTTTCATCGTCAGTGGAACTTTTAGCTCTTTTTTCCGAGTTACAAGCTGCGAGTTGAAGTTTCCGCTGCGAGATTCTGCGGAAGGATGAAAATGCGATAGGGTGTGGGTGGGAAGGTATTACCTTCATACATGGACGACTGGATCCGGAGAGATGGATGAAGGACGAGGCGAGGCCCGCCACGCGATGCGGAAACGATTCGATTCTCATGAAAGATAAAAGCGGATCCGCCCGATCCGTTTACATTATAAGGGCGGTTCTCCAAGTTTCCTCGCGACAACCTCTCGACAATAGTAATCAGCGAACGGCCGATGAGAGGCTTTAAAAACGTGGATAGGAAAATTGGCAAACAGCGTCGGAGCCGTAAAACTAACACTTAAATGTATTTATTGCGCTCTTAAATTCAACGGACTTATCTTATTTTTCAGCTCGTCGATTATTGTAGTATTTTTAAGTATTGCTTCGAGATAAATCTGGCTTAAGAGATTATTTAATAGACAATTTCCTGGCTCTTTAAATGTATTCTTTGAAAGAGAAAAATGTCAGTCAAACTGTCAATATCTTAACCATATATCTTGAAAATCGAAGTTCTAGTTTAAATTATTGGAATTAATAATATTTCTCTTTAATTTAAGAGAGCAGTATAGCTGAAGGAATTTTTTTAACCAAGAGGATTCAGAACAAAAATAGATCAAGTACATAATTTATAAGGTCCACTTTAGGCAATGAAATCATATGTAAAGAGAGGTTTATAAATTACTGAACTTGGTTCCTTTTCATATCCAGAATTTTTCAACTTCAAAAGTTTTTCTTTCTGAAGTCGTTGTTTGTCCTTTTTCAATTTTCCAATTCACGAATACTATAAGATCGCATTTATATGACATTATATCTATGCTAATAACTTAATGATAATTACGAAAATCTAAAAGGCAAATTATTTTAAAATATAAATTTTAAAACACCTAATTATATCGACAAATGGAATGTTGTATTTTCTAAAAAGTAGAAAAATGATAACAAAAACAACAGGGAAAGAGCCAACTGGACTCTTCAATGTTCGTGTTCCCAAAACATGCTCGAGTTTTTGCTCGTTGAATCTCAAGCTTAAGTGTGCTTATGTTTCGAGTACACCGTGTTGCAATCTCGTATCTTGATACTGATAGTTTAACGCCAAAAAATTGTCACGTGAACGCCTTTTTTCTTTTTTTAAACGAAAAAAATATTTTAAGAAGGAATAATATTTAAAATGTCTTTTATAAGTTATTTTTTTTTCATAATTGCAAGAGAATAGATTTACATTATAAATATGTATAATGTAAATTATATTTCCGTAATTAATAATAATTTGGCTTTAAAGTATTATTTCGTTTTAAAATTCTAACAATTGTACATATCTCATTTTATAAATTTTTAAGAGAATTTAAATCACACATTAAAAACTGCACATTGATTCAATGAAATGAATGGAAAGAAATATAAGTTGAAAGCAAAGTTGAGAGAGATGCAATGCAGTGAGGTAAAAATTTAACTTATCTCACGTCCGAATAAGAACGAGATAAGAACCGAGAGTCGCAAATCGATTTCTTGAATAAAGCACCGAATTTTATTTAAATTATCCAGGATAAAATTCGATTCTACGACCTCTTGACTTTTACGAGTCAGCATTGCTTCGGAGTCACTTTCAAGAAAAATCTTTCGCAAATCATGTTTGTCACATCAGATTGCTGAAATTTATTAAATAAGTTTAAGACGCATTATCGTTTTAAAAACTACTTGTTTTATTTTATAGATTTTAAAAATATTAATTTTAAGAAAATTTTATTTTAGGAATATATGTTAATTAAAAATATCTATTGTTTCAAACTTATGAAATAAAAATTTAAGGTTTTACCATTAACATTTATTTAAAATCACAATTTGTGTATCTCAAACTAAATAATTATGGTTATTATTTGTTAAATAATAGGTATATATATTTATTCGTTTCTAAGTTATTTTTATATCCTTTCACTAAAAGTTATGTTCCATCAAATTACAATCTTCTTAAAAACGATTCGATTATACTGACGATATACTATGCCAAACTGTACCACAGAATCGTTAAAAAGATTGGGAATAAATATCGTCACACAAACGCTCCTGTAATCGCAGCTGAGGACGTAACTTTTTTTTACTCCTTCGTACGAGGCACAAAATCCGCTTAGTGCGACTTGACGAACGACGCTTTTAAACCTCGATAATGCGCCGCCGTTTTTTTCCTCATGCGGGCTCGCGAAATCTCTCCAGAACGAATTTCATGAATAAAAAGACGAACGCGAAATGGGAGGGTTTGTGCGAGAGGTACGTTTAAGAGGGTGAACAGATAGTCTTGAATTCGAAAGAATCGTAGACTAAATGTTACAAAACGAAGGCACGTGTCGATCTGAGCGATTATCTCCATATATGTTTTTGAGAGACGTTTATTTTTAATCAAATTGTGTTTTTTATTTAAGGGGATGCTGACTATGTCTGTTTTACCGACTTTGAGTGCAAGGACTTTTCTTTTTATTGGCTATACAGATTGAAAAATCCTTCTCCACAATTAAAGTACTGATAATAATAAACGGAGAGCGCTGTAATTTCGTATAAAAAAAAAAAAACAATAAAGTTAAAAAATTACAGTTTTTTTATCGGCCTCTTGCATCAGCTCGTAACAATATTATTTAATACAAAAGTTTTGCAGTTTATTTGTGCACAAAATATGGCGCTCTCGATAGAGATGCCATGAAAGAATAATACAGAAGTAATAAAAATGAGATGAGGAGGAAATGAGTGGAGGATTTTTCAATCTGTATATATTTAATAAAAGGTTAACCTAACCTAACTTGAAGTCGATAAAACAGAACTGCGGCAACATTCCCTTAACATGTAGAATTAGCCAATTTCACCTCTAAAATGCCATTTTTCAAGGTACATTGTATTATACTTCAGACGACTTCAGAGACCGCGAAATCGGCTTAAGGTAGTTATCGAATCCTTAATCGGTTATTCCTTTTATTCGGTATTCCTTTTATATCACGATACAATGCACCTCGTTACGAGACTGGACGAAGAACCTGACTACTTTCGTCTTTTTTTTTCTTTTTTTTTCAGAAGCGACGAAGAAAGCCCGCGGCGGTTTCATCATGAATATGCATCAAAAGGCAAAGTTTAATTTCACTGGGTGGTAATTAAATTCTTCGGGTTAATTTCGGGCTTAAGTTTCTTTCGTTCGGAATTCATTACGTACATCCGCTTGCGCGCCACCGCTAAAGAAAACACGCGTCTCTTATTTCCTACTCATTTGCTTCGCTATTACAAGCTTTAAAGCCTTGCAAAATGGAAAACCGCAGAAAATCAGTAAACCTTATTAATTCTTCAAGATTCGCATTTTAATAGTATTACAAGAATGCAATTATGAATTATGAATAAATTTCTACATTTTCTTAAAATGATTCGAAATGGAAGATTTGATAATATGTTACGATGCAAAGGATAATAAAATTGCTCTAATATGTGTGTGTATTTTATTTGTTACAGGTAGCATTAAGCTGCGAGTTTGACTGCGAGATCCTCGAGTGTCGGACGAGTCGTTACTTCGTGTAATTATAGTTTTCGCGGTTTTTTTTTCTCGTTATGCAATGTATGCGAAGTACGCATCGCGTCGGGAGTGCCGTGTAAAGTGTCGGGCGATTGTAATTATTCGTGTTTTCGCGAGTGTCGTGAGTGCTACAAAGGACCAAGAGAGAGGAGGAGGGAGAAAACCTGGGGATGCATCGGGCGACAGCGGGGCAACTGTAAGGTATGCAAAATAAAACCATTTTCAGGGTGTCCAGCGGTCAGGGAAATCTGGAAAACCGGACGGTGTCAGGGAATTTTTTTAAATTTGGAATTGTCGGGGAAAAATCAGGAAATTTTGCTATTTATCTCGATTTTTTTCACGTTATTCTACATTTGTCTCAATCATTTAAAATTGTTTATTAAATGAAATATTTATATGCAAATTATATATTTGGAAAAAATAATATATACTAAAAATCAGAGAAAAAATTAATTTCTGGTCCTGGAAAATCTGAAAAGTCAGGGAATTTTTTTCATTGAGTCTGCTGGACACCCTGACTTTTTTTCTAAATTGCATTTTGTTTAAAAATGAGATATTCGACCGTTTCCAGACTTTTTAAAACGCACACGCAATGTATATACATAATTTGAATATTTTATTTTCAGATCAATGCGCTGTGTATGTACTACAACTCCGCTATTGCAGGTATCGGTGAGTGAGAAATTATTTGTTTTATATCATTTCTATATTGACAGTTTCTGGCAGGCGTGACAGACATTGACATAATAAGGTTAAAATAATGTTAAAACAAAAGGAATATTTATTGACTTGGGTTTCTTTTAAATAATTGTCCTACATAAGTCTCTCTCATAAAATTAATAAAACTAATTTGGTATAATTATCTCCAATATTATATCTAATTATTTCATTATTATATTACTTTTGACACTGCTATTAATTAATTAAAAAATTCAAAAGTAAAAAGAAAAGAGCGAAATATGAAATTTATTCAGCTTAAAAATTATAATTTTATTTACGACATATCAATTTTTACATAATATTTCAATTACTATATCTTTATATTGATTAATAGATCGAAATATTTCTAATTATTTGACTTTGATGCATGTGAATTCGCGTGAATGAAAAGTAAGAAATTCCAATTGTTGGACTAAAGAAACTTCACCCAAGTATACTATTTACTAGTCCAAGTCAACCGCAAAGACATAAAAACGAAACGACGTTCAACAGCAGCGCCATTTTTATCGGCGTAAGCCGCGCGGATTAAGCCTGTCTACACCCTCGACGCTCGTTACTAGATTTGACACCGGGAATTACGTAGAGACAGAAAGCCGCACCTCTGGTGTGTTCGTGGCCTTAAGCCAGTGTTCCTCAACTTTTTTACGCGCGCGATTTTCTTCTCCGGTCTTCACCCATTCCTATCATTTCTCTACGTTACACTGTAAAAAAATATGTAATATATTACACAAAAATATGTAAAATTACATAAATAATAAATGTAAAATTACATGATAAATAATGAAAAGGTAAAGATTTCTATTATTTATTGTGTAATTTTACACTTATTATTTATGTAATTTTACATATTTTTGTGTAATATATTATATATTTTTTTACAGTGTACTCATAATCGCTCTTAATTCGAAGAAAAACTTTAGATATACATTTTAATACAAATTTATTATAATCTCCTATTTTTGACGAGATTGAAATCATTGGAAGCATCAATCAAAAAAAGATTTGTGCACTTTCTCGTCTGATATATAGTTCAATGTTCATATCAGGTATGTATAATTCTTTCGAAAAATATATGGCGTGGTATATTTGAAAAGTGTATAAAATCTTGACTGAGAACCATCGCCTCAGCCAACCTGCCAGAAACTTGTCCGTGTGCTTTTCACCACGTCTATAAGTACTGCTTGTCTGTATACACGACCGTGTTCAAAGAGAACGCAAAAGAGAAAGAGAGAAAGATAGGAAAAAAGCTCGGATTATCGGAGCTTCCAGCAACCGTAGACCATCGCAAACGTCACCCTTTACCCTCGCTTACAGCACCTTTTTACAACCACCATTGACCAAAGATCAGAAAGGAAGAACTTCCGAGCTGTTCCGGCTCCACTTTTCCTTCCTGTCCGACGGAAGTGCTAACTTCCTTTCATCCTGATTTTATATTACATATAGAATGTTTCGCGAGTAGCGCGTTGATTTTTAACGAAGTCTTTATCTCGGAAAGCATGAAGTCTCGAAGATTAAACGAGATTACTCTCGACCGCAACTTTTTTATTCGGTATTCGATATGCTAACCACGTTCTCATTAAAAAAAAAAAATTAAAGTAAAGTAATTAATAAGAAGCTAGATTAATATGAATGCATTTTGATAACGTACAGTTTGAAAGTAAATCTTAGCTTAATATCGCGCATCAAACTTAAAAGCTCTTTAATTCGATGCAGATTATTTTCGAGCTTATTTCAATAATCTCTCTCACGCAATAAATTGCACAGATTAAAAATAAACAAACAATTTAAAAAATTTTTTAAATTAGATACTTGCCACGAGGGTTAATTTCTACCAAATATATTTGACTTTAAAAAAATCATGCAATTATGAGACATTTATAAAGCGCACTCGTGGTGATCTAATAATTCAAAGTTATTTATATAATTCTGGGCGATATATCATCGACAAATATAGTAATTCCCTTCCGTAATGTTTTAATTATGCTGCATATGCGTACTATTTTAAGCTTCGCGTGTAGACTCGACATGACGGATCGCTAGAGGGTTTAACATAAAACATAATTTATTTTGTGCATCTAAGTTACATAGTTATGTGTTATGAGGTAAGTTTTCGAAATCAGAAATTAGCGTGAATGTTGTTTTTCACATTACATGTGTCTAATGTTGTCGTTAATTCATAAATTCGTATATTTCCTCACTTTTTTATTTTGCATTTAAACACCAATAACTTTTATGTAAGGAAATATCAAATGGTCAAGTTGAACTTAAAAATCAATCATACGTACGAATAAAATATGCGTTCACTACTTTGAAAACACAAAGTGTGAAAGCATGACAATATTTTTAAGGATCAATCTATATTATATGGAATCTATATAATATTTTCTATTCTGAATAAAATAGATAATGAAATCACTTATTGTTAGATCGACGTCGCGGGAAAAAAATTTTTATATATAATTATATATAAACAATTGTATAATTATACATATAATCGTAAAATTATATGTGAAATATGTCCATTTTTATAATTATATATAAAAAAGCACTTTTATCTAATTATGTATGAACATATTTCTATATAATTTTGTTATATGTATATAAAAAATTTTTCCCGAGATGACTAAAGAAAATTATGAATTTGTTAGGAGTACCTATATTTTTTATAAATTTTAATATACATACTTGTACTTTTTAAATTTTTAAGAACCAATTTGTGACAAGCATGAGAAGAATTTTTCTTTAAAAAAAAATGCCCTATTATTTTCAAGTAACATGACACTGCTTTCTTCATGTCGTACGTATTTATTTCTCTCTACCGGAAAACGTCTCTTTCTTCCTTCCGGATTGTTTGCCCCCGAGTCTTACTGCCGTTTCTTCTTATCTAGGGGCGCCGTTTGACCTCGTCGCGCGAGATTCTCGCTTCGAGATAACGTCCGTTACGACGTTTCGCATCCGTGCGTTTCGCGCTCGCCTGATAATGAAGAAAAGGCGGAAGTGAAAACTTGACCCGGCATTGCACTCTCTCCCTTATCTGCCCTCGCGGCCGTTTCTTTGTACGTCACGTAACCTAACGAGCTTCGTTCCTCGGCATAACACGGATTGTATGTCTACTCGTACTTTCTAAGAAGCGACGAGTCTCCACGGAGCTTTCGCTTTCGCTCTGCGAAATATCTATCTTCCTGCGAGCAAACAACTTCCTCTTCATCGACGTTGTTTCATCATATTTTTCACATTACAGTATCTTATTTGCAAAGTAGTTTTTCGATTTTTATTATCATTCACATTTTCCTTCCTCTTCGTTGCATCCACGTTTTTACTTCCCTTTTTTTTCTCCAAATTTCCACGATCCCCTTTTTCTTTCTCCTTGCATGTAGGTCATCCAAAAATCTCGTTTCTTCATTTTCATAACTTTTACCTTCTTTTCTCTGTACCTTTTCTTTCTCTTGAATTAAAATTCCATTCCTTATTGTTTATTATCGAGGATCTCTACTTCTTTTTTTTTTATCAAAATATAAAGGAATGTTGAGGATTCAGATTCTTTTCGAAGATATTGCTGTTTAATTTGATTGTCATGTTTATCGAAAAGGCCTCGTTCTAGGGCGAAGGTGCAAAGGGAAAAAATGATATTTAAAAAAAATTATATCAAGTTTGTTTAAACTCGATCAAAACGTTAATTTGCTAATTAAATTTTAAAGTAAAAATATGTTATAAGAATTTAAATCATAATTTTATTAATAATATGTTATAATACTTTAAACTCGCGAGTAATATTCTTTGACAGAAATCAGCTGATAGCTGTCAAAAAATATTACTCGAGTTAAAGAACTATAACATATTATTTAAATCTTTCTCACGTGTTTATTTCTCTTTAAGTTTTCTATGTTTTTTCTTTCTTCCAACAATCCTTGTTATAAAATTTTTTTCCTTTTACTTTTTCATCTCTTTGTCCTTTTACTTGAAAGCGGCGCTTCATTCTTTGCGCTCCGAGGCTCCGGAAACGCGATGCGTTTTTCGTTACGCAATTCCCGAGTGAAAATCAGTTTTCTTTATCTAAGAGGCTTACTCGCGCTTTTGCTCTACCTTTCTTTAATACCTTTCTCCCTCTTTGCCACCCCGTGCATCCATTCCTCCATCTCTTCGCGAGAAACACCCCCATAAAAGCCTTCGCCGACGAGTGGAGAACATCTTCTGCCCTAGTACATTCATTATATATGCGTCGACGAATACTCGCGTCTCCTCACTCGATTTCCTTTTATCGCGCGAAGAAATCGATCGCTTTTCCCTTACTTTCCGTCGAGCGACTCGTGAAGTTTTCATTCTTCGACTTTCCTATCATCGCGATCTTCACGGGATGACTTTCTCGTCAGCCAGAACTCATTACAAACGCGTCTTCCAACCACGTCATATCATAATGCGCGACGTTTTTTATTTGAAAAAAAATCGGAAGTCATCGGAAAGTCGAGCTTTTTAAGAAGCTTCAGATTCACTCCCCGAATTTTTTCCTTGCTGATCGCTTTCTTTGATTTCACGCTGACGATCTCCATTTTTTTCGTTATATAAGTAAAGGAAATTGTCATATTTTATTGTCATGTGATCATTTCTACGTTCGCCATACATTTTATGTGAAAAACAAGCGCGCGGTATTAACTCTCAACAAATATCACATTTTTTACTGTGATGTGGAATCTTTCGTATAATCTTATTTTATTTATTAAAATATTAAAACATTTTTATAAACGAATAACACTTTAATTATGCTGTTTTACGACAAATATACGACACAAATATATAAGCGACTTATTTTACAATGTACTTTGTTTTATTGTATATCTAGTATTCTCTAATATCTGTTGAGAATAAATATTTAGTGTCGAAGCAGCTTATAATTAGATTAATTAGATTTTTGTAGGAATAAATAGAATACCTCCGAAATATAAATAAATAGAAATT